CGCGAAGATAGAGCAATTAACGAGACACTAGACTTCACTAATTAATTGAAATATGCCGAACGGAAGAAAGGAAAAAGTTTCTACACATCTTACGGACGTTTCCTCGACCTTCGACTTCTTCTCGGCTCTCGGAACTCTTCTCTTTCTGTCCATAAATCTCACGAGAACTGCCGAAGCAGAAGATGGAAACTGGATATACACACGCGGCGGAAATGCGTGAATCAGTGATACTACCTCCGGAGAAAACGACATCGTTGTACGAGTTTACCGACTGTACGAAGCGACTGTGTGTGATTATCCTCTCTCTCTCTCTCTTTCTCTCTCCGTTTCTGCGTCTCTTCTGGGTGCGTTGACCCAGCTTACGGTAACCCAGGCGGTGTGTTGCACCTGCTTCGACGTGGACTTACCGGTATAAAGGGTCGTGTGACCCGAATTATTTTCTTCTTTCGTCGCGTCATCCCGCAAAATCGCGCTTCGGCTCGAGCTGTTCGATCAGCTTGTCACAGATTACGGTATACTTGCGCACATGTGAATGAACCGTGGACTGGATAAAGCTAGTTTCAGACGTGATGCTCTCGAGAGATTTTAAGGGGCAGTGAAACTTCTAGACAGCCACCTGTTGCTGTTTCTTTATAAATATGTTGTGACAGTCTTCCTTTCTAAATTATTTTAACAAGTTATTACTTCATAGTTATATTCGCTGCTGTCAAAGTATGATCGTCTCGTTTTTTTTTCGTCTTCGAAAGTTGTACATAACTTTGTTTGTTAAGTGTATCTTTAATCGAGGATACGTTTAACAAATAATGCACAATTTTGCTTTAATTTCATTTGCTTGTTTCTCGATTCTTTCGCGAATCCTTCACGTTTCTCGGAACATGTATCATCCTTAATGGGCATAGACTGGTCGCATCCTCGCCCCTAGCCATTCAATTATACAAAGTAATCGCGGCGGTACCGCCCACGTCTCAACTGCCTCAACTGCCATCACCGTGATCGTATTAATCTGCAATTTGCATAGCTCGACCTATTCAACGCGCCCTGGGTTCCTTCCTCTTCTCCGCGAGCATCCAACCACTTTCAACGTCCTCCTCTTTGGTACACTTGATAGCAGGGATACTGCAAATGAGGTCATAAATTAAAGCATTAAGAGGAGTTAATTTAACTGCAGTTCAGGCCAATCAGAATTATATGTACGGTACGAGGCCAATAGAAATGTCTCAGGTTTTTGTTGCAAACAAAATTGGGAAAATCAATTTTTACAAACACTGTCGAAAACGAAGTTTAAATTATATATACGATATTATACGATCCTGAATCAAGTCTTGAAATCTTCTATGTATGTATGCATCTTCGATACAACGCATGAACATTGATACCTGATCAATTTTATAACCTCGCCACGTATCTTTTGCACGGGGAATATCGAGGAGAAAAAAACTCCTATACGAGGATAAACATAATTTTCCCTGTCGTGGAAAGGATCCGTCGAAGCCATTAACCTGGCGCTGCCATAAATTCCGTGGCAGATGACGTACGGTACAAGGAACGACATATACGTAGTAAGCAATGCTACGTAGAATCGATCGAGAATCAGGAATAGAAGCGCCGGCAGGTTTTCGCGTGCGCTTCGTGCATGTACACACGCAGGAAGGATAAAGAGGACGACGAAGGGGAGGAGGCACGCGAGGAGGAGGTCTTCTCTTGACCTCACTTTCTAGAATCCTTTAAGTATATGGCGCCTTCCCGGCTAAGGCTACGGCTCGTTTTATCCATTATCGATGGAACCGCTTCCCTGATACACACATACACACACGACGTGTGTCTCTACTAACCGAGATATCAGCGTGTGCCCCGTGCAGATTCTTCGTGGCAGATGGTCCCTCTGGTTGTCAAACTCACGGGCTCGTTGTTAAGTGGAACGTCCGACTCGATTCGCGTCTCATGAGGAAGTCGTGGCCCCGTCGACGTACCGTTCTTTCCCCTCCCCCTGGTTCCGCTTCTTCTTCATGTGCCTCTCAGAGATACCCGCAAACCGACAAGAAATCGCAGAAACGTGTATTAAAGAATTAGGGATCCGTATCTTCAAGATGTGTCTTTAATATTATATATATTTTTTAGTACAGATACGTCTTTCAGAAAATATTCACAGAATGTTTGCAGATGGACGAAGCTATTTTGTATTGTTATTACTAGATTGCCGATTTTTATGCAAATTTTGAGAAGAATGCAAATGTCGGTAGAGTAAAATATTTCATATGTCAAAGATTATAGACACACTTTGGTTATTTTATATTGCTTTTATATTATGTATAATTTCGCGCTTTAAAAATCTAATTATTGGAAAACTAGTCTACGTTTTCTTAAATGTAACCTTTCAATTCCAGGATTATGTCACAAATGATGATGTAGGAATTCAGAGTTGATATATAATATAATAAATATATTTTAATATGTTATGTAGTATATGATCTATAAATCTACAACTATTGTAGATAATATAAATCATAATTTATAAATAAATATAAATTAATAAAATACATGCACATATAATATATATAAAGTACATGTAATGAATACATGTATAGAATGATTTTTGAAGCACCGTCAAAAACAAGATCGTGACGGTGGATATATATGTGTGAATACGCGCGAGCGTGTGTCGTGGACATTTTGAAAAACAAATGGAAAACATCAGGAATCAAGAGAAAGAAGTTAGTCTTAAGCGATAGAACAATAGAACAATATAAACGTTATTACCACTTCATTAAATTTTTTTCAATTTCTTCATTATCGTTTCATTATATACAATACAGCGTTCCCGATCTTACACATATAAAATAGTGTACTTATACATACTACATTTACCTACGTGTGAACTTACATGCATTTCACAAATTATCATTCGATCATTCAACAAAAAAAAAAAAAGAAAAGAAGAATTCGAATTGTTATAAATGAATAAATCTCTTGCAGATCTGGCGCAGATCCGAGCGCTGGTGGAGTCCACGGGGATGCTGGGTGGTTCAACCTGTCCGTCCTGCGAGATGCCGTTCGACAAGGGGAAGAAACGTCGATTGATCGACTCTTGCGGCCACGAACGTTGCTATTCCTGCTTGTTCCGCAGCGAGGCTTGCCCGCTTTGCCTTCGAGCCGACTTCAACGACGACGACGGCCTGGAGGGACCCTTCAGGGAGGGGTTCACCGGCTCCTCAGGGCCTATGTCCATCCTCGCGCCCACGGATGGCTGGATCGATGAGTCATCGACGGTGAACTCTCTCTGCGGCAGCCCCAGACCGCGTACGAAAGTCACCACGAGAGCCAATCTTCCTTCCAGAGTCATGCACGTAAGCATATCATCCCGTCGTCCACTTCGAATCGTGCCAACTAACACTTTCTTACGTGCGGATCCTCGACACTTTGAATCGTGCCTCTCGATCGTTGGAATGCCTAGGTCATTTCTCTCGCTATTGTTCAATAGTTGTCTCCTGCGGTTGATTGCATTCAAAGAAACGATGTCAATTAGAATGGTTTAGAAAGTAAGGACCTAAATCTTCTTCTCCGCGACACGAGCTTTCTTACGTGTATTTATAGTAAAATATTAAATGTCTGGTATTTAGAATGGAGTGGAAACGAGAATTTCCAAGTTGATTTGTTTGTTAAGTAAAAAAATAGAGATTGTTCTTAGGGTCTTTTGATTTGGCTTGTTTCCATTTAGCAAAGAGACACGGACGAAAGTGCCTCTTTCATGGCGATGGCCAAGGGTTTGAAGAATAAGCCACCGGCGCTTCCGGAGTCCTCGTCGTCGCAGGGTCGACAGAAGCTTCAGATGATGACACAGAGTACGTAAATTAAACATTAACGCTTCTTGAAACATTAACATACGTATATATCATGGTTTTATTCATTTGCAAGTCAATTGATAGAAAAAAAAATGTAAGTTTTATAAGCAAGGGGGAAAAAATTTTTACAAGGTCACGTGTATTCATTTAACATAATAATTTTACGAAAATTCCGAGATAAAAAAGAAAGCGTAAGTAATATATAAATCGGGGAAATTCTCTAGATAGGATCCTCAAAAGAGAATTAAAAATAAATGAATCACACAGTACAATATATACAATATACTCCGCATATTATGTAACAACTTCAATGTTCATTCAATAAAATACGATGTAAAATTGCTACGATAGGTTGTCCAACGCCACCGAATCAAAGGAAGAGGTTCTTCCTGAACCCGAAAGTCCTCAGGAGCTCGTTCGTTCCCCAAAGATCGTCGAGACGAGGAGCATCCTCTCCAGAACCAATCGCGAACGACAATCCCTCCGCCCTGTCAGGTAATATTCAACTGGGAATCACCGTTAACAACTTCTAATAAAATAGATAACCACGTAACGGAATAGGGAGACTGCTTACCAGTAATTATTAATGATAAACCAACCACGGGTGTAGCATGGATGGCCTCTTCTTGGGAGGGGAAGTCTCGATGGCCGGGTGTAGTACTCGGGAAAATCAAATCGTTGTGGAGCAACAGTCAAGGGACGGCGAACGATGGGTTGAACCAGCTCATCGACTCGAGGAACAAAGTCACAGGCAGGGAGAACACTTTAAAAAAAAATCGAGTGTGCATCCTCTTTCACTCTCGAGTGTGTTTAGAATCGATAAAATCGTTGTTATACATACAAGGGCTGCTCGAAAAATGGCACTCACGCGTTGTTCCTTTGTTAATAATTTCTTTCGTAGCATTGGCACTTTTCTATCCTCCCTCACACTTCCGGTAGAGAGCACTTGCAAAGTTTGTAGCATGCACGGAGACGTCGATTAGTATGATTAATCTCGACGTGGTGATGTGTGTGTGTTCGAAGCACGAATTTCTCTCCTGTGCAGTTTTCAGAGAACAGTGATCGAAATCTTCTTAATTCTTAATCGGTGTGGTGCGAGTTGAATTTACGTATTATATATATATATA